TGGACCAGATTAAGACCAGTTTAGGACCAGATTAGAACCAGATCAGGACCAGAATTGGACCAGATTAAGACCAGTTTAGGACCAGATTAGAACCAGATCAGGACCAGAATAGGACCAGATTAAGACCAGATTAGGAGCAGATTTGTACCATTCTTACTGGATGAATCAGATTAAAGCATCAGCAGGTCTCCAGCTGCGTGAGCAGCTTCTGTAGCTACGTGCTGAGAGGAAGAGTCGGTCCATCAGAACAGGTTCAAAGAGGAGCTAAAGGAGCGGGTTCTGGACCCRGACCTTCGGTTCTTGTCAGTGGGGGTCAGTAGCAGACCAGTGACATCCTGGCTTCAGCTTTTCTGATGGTTCCCATGACCCCACTGTGGGTCAGGAAACGGRCAGCAGCCGAAGTTCGGCTGTGTGTTAATCAGCTGTTTAAGCTGATTTGGGCGGGGCTTAAGTCTGCTGGTGTTTTCCTGTGGGTCTGAAGCTGGAACCTTGAGGGACCACATTACGCAGCAGGAACTCCGGGGTCCTGGTTCTGAGACCAAATAGATCCTGGTCTCGCAGCAAGACTTGACTTTTCTAAACCTCCAAAATAAAAGCATGGAGGTTAAAGCTGATTGGCTGGCTGTTGGTTCATGATGTAAATATATTTGACTAAATAAAGATGACCGGATCAAACAGAACTCTGCCTGCTGCAGTCGGATTATTTAGTAGTTTACATGTTTCAGCCTCAGATTTCATTCTGCTGTGCTCTTATTCTGAAAGGTCTCAGTGTCTTTGTTCAACAAACGATAATAAATAATTGATGAGCTCTGAAGGCTGATTGGCTGATGGGAGGTTCCACAGAGACAGGTGGATCAGGGCTGGACCTGGAGCTCTGTCGGGGACACGTCAGTAGGTTTCCAGTGAATTGTCCCAAAATAAGTTCTGGACGTCCAGCATGGCGGCCAGGTCCAGGATGTGCTTCTGCAGGAGGCCGCTCTCCACCGTGTCCTGCTGCGGCAGCTCAGGGTACGACTCCGGGAAGCTCCGACACTCCTGCACACAGGAAGAACCAGAACCCCGAGTCCAACAGAACCACAACCAGCTGATCCTTTACTTCCTGTAGCAGCTAGCTTTGCTGCTACGCCAACATTAGCTTGTGTGTAAAACAGAAACATGTGCAGTTTAAGCTAACAACGTTAGCATCTCCTAAAAAGTCTTACCAGAACCAATCAGCATCAAGAACATCAGGTTTTAACAGCCCCGGGTCTGGGACTATCTATCCATCCATCCATCCATCCATCCATCCATCCATCCATCCATCCATCCATCCATCC